AAGCAAATCGTTGTCAGTCCGACGAACTTGACCCTGGCGTCTAAAGGGTCTGTCCTTGACACTTCAGGCTTGTCAGGGGCACCAAAGTCCTTCCAGGGACACCACAAACCTGTCAGGGGCACCTACGGCCTTGTAGGGGCGCCACAGGCCCGCCAGGGGCACCACAGGCCTGCCAGGAAGCAGGGGCACCACAGGTCTAGCAAGTATACACGACAGGCCTGTCAGGGGCACAACGGGCCTGTTGGGCCCATGAGCACCCCTAGGGACAGGGGCACCACAGTCCTTCCAGGGGCACCGCAGGCCTGTGAGGGGCACCAGCGGCCTAGCAGGGGCACCAGTCAACACAGGCCTGCCAGGGGCACCACAGACCTGCCAGGAGCACCACCGACCTCGCAGGGGTAACTTGGGCCTGTCAGGGCCCAGGGGCACCACGGGCCTGTCGAGAGGCACTTCAGGCTTTTCAGGGGCACCATAGTCCTCTCCGGGCGCAGGGGTAGCAGGGGCACCAGAGGCCTGCCAGGGGCACCACAGGCCTAACAAGGGCACCACAGGCCTGTCAGGGGCACCTCAGGCTTGTCAGGGCCCAGGGACACCACAGTCCTTCCAAGGGCACCGCAAGCCTGTCAGGGGCACCAGAGGCCTGCCAGGGGCACCACAGGCCTAGCAAGGGCACCACTGGCCTGTCAGGGGCACCACCGGCCTTGCAGGGGCGCCTCAGGCCTGTCAGGGGCACCACGTGCCTGCCGGGGACACTTCAGGCTTGTCAGGGGCGTTACAGTCCTGTCAGGGCCCAGGGGCACCAGGCCCGTGGTGTCCCTGCTAGGCCTGTGGTGCCCCTGGCGGTCCTGTGGTGCCCCTGTCAGGACTGTGATACCCCTGATAGGCCGGGGTGCCCCTGGCAGGTCTTTGGGCCCCCGGGCCTCAAGGGGGGGGCCATGACCCATGTGACCCCCCCCCCCCCCCTTGGATCCGCCACTGGTCAGGAGGACGCCGTTAGAGCAGGCGAAGGGCGCAGTGCTCTCGAAAGGGCGCTTGTAAAAGACTTGTGGGTGCATTTTCATCATTGTGGGGGCATATTTCAGGGTTGTGGGTGCATGCCCCTCAAAGAGATATAAAATTACACCCTTCCCTTGCACTGTACGCCTTGCTTGCACTGTACTATCAAAATCAAGATTACTTTACAACAAAGTTGCAGGCGAAGGATAAATTCATATGGTAGCACCAGGTAGCACATAGTGCATTTGGTGGCATCGAAAGATATAAATGTCATGTGACAGCAAACTATTACTGAAACGAAATTTGCAATTACGTGATACTTTTGATTTAATTCTTTTCCAAGTAAGCAATTCTTTATAACTAAACAAGCATACTTAAAAGTTAAAAACACTGTTGCAGAACAAGTTGTGGTAACTATTCATTTCCAAAGCAGGTATCACGTGATCTCTGATTGCTGCTGGGCATTTCGTTTCGCTTGTCGGCATTTCTTGCGCGTTTGCTACGATTCTGGTGCACACATTTTTTTTCTGCAACTTTGTGATTTCTCATTATTTTTAAATAGTTTTGATGGAAGTTTTTCATATTTACTGTGCTCTTTTCCTGCACTGAGAAGCATATAAGAAAGTAATTAGACAATGGTAATGATAGAACTTGGTTGTTGACTTCTGATCACCATACCTATAGCTCTTCTTATTTTAACACATGCATCAGTGGGTGTACCTAGGTACTAGGAATTTAATTGTTAACCCATACAATGTCAATGTCAGTAGGCGGAACTATGGTCAAGCGTACCCATTTTCGGGAACGCATTTTCGTTCCCATCTTTGGGAACGATAAACCCAAATATGGGAACGCCATGTAGGCATTATTTAAAACAAGAAAAAGAACCGTTAAATGACGTCCAAAAAATATAAAACGATCGTGAACCGCCTGATATTTATCTCAATATTGTTGGGAAAGAGTTTGATATTGTAAGGCCCATCGTAGTTTCAAATCGTTCCCCTATTTCTAAAGCAGTCCATCATCCGGGCCGCGAGCCCAAATTTGGGAACGCTCTCGTACACTGGCGCTGCAAGCGTTCCTTATTATGGGAACGGCGTACCCAAAATTGGGAACGATTTCACCGACGGCTTTCAGGGGCTCTTTTCATTAACAAGCATCACGTCCAACGCCGCAAATTATTGTTAACGCAACAATCATCAGATGACCTTTCCGGCAAGACCGTCGCATGTTTCGCCCGGTCTTCTGCGCTTTTATTCCCGTCGATCTCGCAACGGGCACGCCCCCCTCTGCAGGATTACGTAATTCACAACGCTCAGCGATGTTCAACAAGGTCTTCCATACCTATATACACTGTCCGCGCCGAGGGTGGAGGCATGTAAAACACCTGTCTGTTTAACACTGATAGTTGATGAGCACAAGTAAGTATCCAAAAATGGGAACGCTGAAATGTTTCACTCTCAAAACACCTAGTCCCAATATAAATCTACTTTTTTCCTTTCTTAATGAGTGTAAGTGGCAAAAAGCCTGGTAGGATGGGCACGAGAAATGATCAAAATCAGCATAAAAATTATAAATAAGCCACACAGGGCGACCTGCATAAAAGAAATTCCCCCAAAACGATCGTGCTTAGAAATACCGAAGGCAAAAACCACGCTCATGACGCTCCTTAAAAGCAATGCTTAACAGCTAGCATCCAAATAAAATATGTCTTTCAGGGTTGATAAAATACAGCTGGATAATTTTCAACCGCTTAAACTGAGTTTACAACAGTAGTTCGGTAAATTCACTCACGTTCCACGCGGTCGTCCGCCCCGACACCAAAAGTCAACAATATTACCTCCGGACCGTCCGCGTCTTCGCTTGCATTTGTCAGCATCTGGTGTCGATAGTATGAAAGTTCATAACCAGGCGAAAATTATTATACTTAACCTCAAACTAAAAAATGCTTCATTTTCCTTAAAATTGCATGTTAAATGTCGTATAACCCATATTTTCAACATTTTGTCATTTTTAAAAAATCATTAAAAATATCATTCCACGGTCAATTTCCTTGTTCCACGGTCAGATTAAAGATAACTTAATGGAGATTTAGTAGATACTTCAATCAGCGTGCACTTTTTTGAGACGTGATGCACTTTTGAGTTTTAGTGGGCGAACGGCCGAAAAATTGCCTTGCGTTCTCATAAATGGGAACGCCCGTTCCCATATTTGGGAACTCCGTTCCCAAAAATGGGAACGTTCCTATATTTGGGTACTCATGACCATAGTTCCGCCTACTGATGTTGTATTTGGTTTGCATTCATTAGGTAGCATCATTTACATGAGTGTACCAGTATTACTCTTTGTGCATCAATGCCAAGAAAATGGAGCTGGCAGCTGCCTGCTGAATCATTGGTTACTGGGTGGAATATGAAAATGGGGCACTAGAGGGCATTTTAGTCATGCGATTATTGGGATATTCTCCCCGTTTGTGTCAACAGGGTAATTATTATGTGATTAGGTCAAGCAAATTACAAGATCCTTGATCAAATTGCCCCAAGCACCCCGTTTTCAGGGTGGTGTTTCACCGATGATAGCAGCACGCTGCTATTACACGTGTCAAATTGGGTTTTCATGAAGATGTCAACAAGCCCATCGCTCTAAAACCACCACAAGTGTGACATCAGCTTGCGAAATGGATTAAGCAGGGTGCCGTGAAACACTGCCCAGATTCCAGTTCCACCAGTTACTGTTCCTTGCTTTGACTTGGGCTCAAGTTCCGTAGGGTTTGATGCTTGCGTGTGTGAACACCTGTAAAAGGCTACACGTACAAGCCACACCAAGAAGTGGGGAGAAGAAGATATAAAACTTTTCTCTAGGTCAAAGCTTTTTTAGCAGTATACCTACGTAACCTGTGAATATGGCCATGGGCCAAGCTAATGAAAGATATTGTAATGAAAAATTGAAATTATGCAAACAGCTTGCTAAATACATAGATAAACCAATTTCTCATTTTTTGCAATCATCCCAGTACTTTGACTTACTAATGTGGGCACCAAATAGAGACATAGTCTATGCCAAGCAATTTGATTAAACCTTAACCTACATGTCATATCTGGACATTTTTGTCAGAGACCATTTGTCAGTTACTTTTCAGAAGCCCGCACCTCTCTAGGTGCCTATTAACATCATCATAATTTTGGTCAAAGTAAGGCTGTGGTCAGTGGTGTGGTGGGTATTTGTTAGGTGTGGATTAGTCTGACAGTCTCATGGATTGGAGGAGGACTGAGAAAAGCTGCATTACTCAGCAACAAAGAGCTTTAATTAATAATTGTGTGAATGCCTACTTAAATAAAAAATAACTATTTGCATGAAAGCCTGCAGGAACATTTATGCTATCATGTAAAAAATCTGACTGATGTGCTACATGACTATCTTGTGTGATTATTTTTGGACTTTTTGGACTATTCAAAGAATCTTTTATTTTATTTTATTTCCACTTCTATGTAATCACATATAGAATGAGACCAGACCTACTCAACTTCGATGAATGAAAGACAAGACTTTTGTCCATGCTGACAGCTTATGAGAATTATTGCACAAATACTCCTGCCAACAGATCAGCAACCTTATTCTCAACTAACTTTCTGCCTCCCTCCATCCAGGTTGAATGGGTCCAACTGATGCAGTGCTCTGTGCTCTATTTCTCTTTTGCCACTGTCACTTTTTGGCATATTAGGCACAGGTCTCGCGGGTTTTAACGGTAGGTTTTGCACATAGAAAATTTAGTGTACTTCAGGCTATATCTTCGTCGTCTTAAGCTTTTAAGTGTTGAAGATGCGATCGACTTGTTGGTTCACAAGCCGGCCATGATCGTGTAAAATGGCTTCATCGTAGATCGATTAGTTTCTGAGATATAACCGGAAATGTAAAAGTGCAAAACCTACGGCTTAATCTCGCGAGAGCCGTACCTACCTAGTTAACCATGAGTCTACACTAAGATAATTATTGCTATTTTTCAGCATGGTAGGCTAAGAGTCAAAACTACAGAACAACAAGAAGCAGAGAAAGCTATAGAGCGCCAGAAGAAGCTTGCGAAATACAATGCTGGCACAGCTCTTCTTTTCAAAAAGGTAAGGGGAATCATGTGGAGAAAATATGAAAGTAAATGTATCAACTTTATCAACAATTTTGCTGCTTTATGTCACTTGCTTGCTTGACAGATGATTGTGCTATGTGATATTTTAAAGTGAACATATTTATGTGATAGTTGATTAAATTTGACCAAAATACTCCAACAAATCGCTAATGTAGTCTTTAGTTTGTATCTTCGACAGTTTTAAATGGATAGAGAGACAAACAAAGAAATGGACACAGAGACATAGTCTGCTCATGTACAAAGCAGAGTTCCTTGCACTGGGACCTGAAACTCTTCCACTGTGTCAGCATTGGACTGCTGAGACAGCTGAAAAGCCAAAGTGGAACATTCTTTTGTAGCCAGACACGGTCCGTTCCAATCACTGGTTTAAGCTGACTGTGGCTGCTTGCACCAAGCATACACCATTCCTACCAGGAGTTTTATTTATCAAGCGCCAAAGCGATTGGAACTTGACGGGCTCTCAGCATGGAAATTCCAGCGCTGTACCGATCCTGTAAGGGACAAAGGAGTTGGAACTGACAGAGGGATGACGTACCGCCAGTGAATCTGAGAGGTGCTAAAACGTGTTTCTCGAACCATTCGATGTTCATTCTGCAATCTTGTAAAATACGTACCAAAACAACAATTGTGTGATCTAGGCATTTTTTTATTTGACTTAGTTTATGGTGTTGTATGTATTTTTTTTCACGTGCGCACTTTTTCCGCAGCGCAAAGAGAGAGTATACGATGAAGAGACTGCACTTCAGTTGTCTCAGATTTTGGCCGTGAATCCGGACTTTTACACGTTATGGAACTACCGTCGTGAAATTTTCCTGCACTGGAAGGCCGAAAAGTAAGTACCTATTGTCAACTACCCAGTCACAAACGTTCTAAACTGTTACTTTGCTGGAGTCAGCAACCAACGGCCATTGCTTTTAAATTGCTTACATCATATGACGTTGAATTGGTATCGTTTGCGTTTCCAGTAAGGGCTGCCCGCATAGAAACTTATCCCTGCTCGTTATTTGTATTTAGTTGCTTGTATTATCAAAGCAGCTCTTCAAATGTTCTTTATAAGTTGGTCGCATGGACTATGGAGCACTGTCTATAGCCAGTGCCATCAACGTCTGCCCTATAGCGTTCACGCTCATCGCCCTACACTCGTTTTTTCAGGAGTTCGGAATATCTGCAGCAGATGCTAAAGTCCGATCTTCAGTTCACCGAACAATGTCTCGGCGTAAATCCAAAGTCCTACTGTGCTTGGCACCATAGGTAAGAGAGAGCCTGTTGTGTGGCTGCAGGTATCCTGTTGAAGAAAATACGCCAATTAATATTATCTTTTAGTTGAGCTAAAACCCGCCATAAGTACCTGTCATCTTGAGGACTGGTCGGTTACGATTCTATATTTAGTCCCATGATCCGATTTTTGTGCCTCTGCATTTGGCGACATATGCCGGGATTAATTGCCGTCAGGATAGCTAGATTTAATCGGCTCTTAACATGTGACCCACCTTCACTGTCATGTCGCTCATATCACTCGGGAGCCCGGGCTGCCGACGCGCTCGTGAGACGAGGCCGCGTTATGATGGACGGTCCAACGGGCGATGTTGTGCTCTCACCAGGTGTTGGGTGATGGAGAATATGCCCTGCCCGGACTGGGAGGCGGAGATCCAGCTCTGCGACCGCTACCTCAAACTGGACGGGAGGAACTGTGAGTGGCACTTCGGCGGGACGCTGCTGACGGATGCGGCAGCGAGATGAACCGTCCCCCTCGGGGGTACAGCTATCCCATCAATTATTGATGACAGACTAACTAATAAGCTTGTTTTCAAAGTATGGATGCGGGTTGTTGTAACGAATGGCCTTTTCTTGTTCACTCATGCACGTTTGGTGGGCGGAACTGATATTTTACGGCAAAACCGGTATTGCCGCATTTTTGTTGGCCATTTTCCTTGCTCTGTCGTTCGTCGAAAGTCGTTGGACTTTGCGGCAGACGAGAAGGAATTCATTGAAAAGGTCAGCATGGAACAGCTCAAGATTAATGTTTTACAGGTGTCTGGTTTATCTTCACATTTTCGTGTTCCTACTAACTACTAAGTGTCAAATATTTTCTTATCAGCAAACGCAAGGCGAATTTTTAGCTCCGGCTGTTAACAGTGCTCATCATAACGCTGAAATTTAACTTTGTTTAGATTAGCATAGATACAACTTTTTTGTACTACGTTACGTATGATCCTCGTACGATGTCGGAGAGCGATTTTTTTCTGGTACCTGTGCTGTTTCATTACACCATAAAATATGTTTGGCCTAGGATCGGTAAACAGGTGGTACATTTGAGATATGTCAATATCGTTCACTTACCCGAAAGTTTGCGCACAGGCTTGCTGTCGGAGTCCCAAGAGTCGCTGCTCTGCCGTTACCATGGGCTTGGTACAAAACATACTATTTTTGGCGAAATATTTATGGTTATCTCATAAAAGACTAAAGGCTGAAACAGACTCTTTCCGCGTTCAGGAAATCGCATGCGAGAGCCTATTCAAATACATTATAATTTTCCCGCATCAGTCGCATCCGGGAGGTGCGTGCGATTGATGCGAGCGTGCTTCCATGTATTTGAATAGGCTCTCGCATACGATTTCCTGACTGCGGAAAGAGTCTGTTTCAGGCATAATGCCATTTCACATATTCCGTTCCTGCGGTTCATGTTTTTCATGTGTATCACCTGTAACCTCATGCAGACGCTCACATAATTTCTCAATGTTACGTAAAAATCAATCGTTTTTGCTGAATCCTCGACAAGAACGACATCCATGATATAAAATTAGAGCTCGGTTTCGCTCGTATAATCCTACTGACAATGACACGGTCCGGCCACCCACAGTCCACTGCTGGGACTACCGTCGGTTCGTGGTGGCCGGCGCCGGCCGGTCGGCCGCTGACGAACTGGCCTCGGCTGACCGTCTGATCGAGACCAACTTTTCCAACTACTCGTCCTGGCACTACCGCTCCCACCTGCTCAGTCAGCTGTTCCCCGCCTCCGGCACGGCCACACCCATCAGAGAGGACAAGTACCTGCACGGTGAGATGGGAGGGCGGTTGGTGGAGGGGTATCGCGAAATACCTAAGCGGCTCTCGTTTATAAAACCAGAGCGGGTCGGATGAGGTTGTTGTTGTGCAGTGATTTTAGCGTTGCATTGAATTGTCCTTGTGGGGTCAACGTCCTCTTTATAATTCCAGCAGTTTTTTTACTCGCTTTTATTGATACCGATCTAATGTTCTGAATGCTCACACGCTATTTTGGGCAGACGTGCTATCACTGTTCACAGTGAACGGAAAATGTTGATTTAATTTCTGCAGCTGACCTGCTTCTGCAAGATGCCAATCTACCGATTGTCACACAGTTTCATATTGATTTCCTGGCACTCCCGGCAGAGCTGGAACTGGTCCAGAACGCCGCTTTCACGGACCCGTCCGACCAGGCTCCGTGGTTCTACCACCGCTGGCTGCTGCAAGGGCGCCGCCCAGCGGCCAGTATCCTAAGCTGCAGTGTGCTGCGCGGCGGACAGATGGCGCGCGTGGCGGTGGCGCTCAGCCGCCCGGCCCGGCCGGCTGACGTCGGTCTGACTCTGGAGACTGGGGAGAGCCGCGTCACCGAGTGGGCCTCACCCACTGGAGAGAGTAGCGGGACGGTCTGGGTGAGTGGGGAGAGAGGGAGCGGGGTAAGCGGGGAGGGAGAGAGAGGTAGAGGGGAGGAGAGGCGCCGTCTGAGTGAAGGAGGGAGAAGGATGTGTTTGTTGCTAATCTCGTTGGCTATTTTCATGGATGACTTAACCCTCGCCGGCCGAGCGGGGGGGGGGGGGGGGCGGGTGCCGCCCCCCCATAGGGTTTTTTTCGCGATAGCTCCGAACACGCTGGCGATAGAGAGCTGAAACTTGGCATACCTGACCTTTGATCCAAGCCGGATCTTTTGACACCAACCGCATTTTTGGGTCAGGTCAGGTCACTGACCTATGACGTCATAAGTGAACCTCTGCACGGTCTTCAGATGTCGCAACTTCGCAACGCCCTCACTGCCAGAGGAGATGTCACAGGGAAATGAAACTTGCAGGATCTAGTATCCATTATGAGTCCCACAACTTGTATATCTCGGATTTTTCCTAAAGGTCATATGAGGTCAGGTCATTTTCGTGACCTCACCATTATAAGTCAATGGGGAAAAATTCAAACTGCTATTCTGGCGCCGGGAACGATCTCCAACTATCTCAAGCACACAGAATCGTGATTTGATGCACTCCTTGCAAGGTTAGATGCGTCACTTTTGCAATGTTGACCTTGCGTGACGTCATTTATGACGTCATCAAGGTCAAATTAGTTTTTCGTCAATAACTCTTGATCAAATTGAGCTAGCGAGTCGGGAAAGGCACCAATGGACTCAGGAAGGCCTGCCGAATCGAATGATATGCGACATGACCTCTTTCGACCAACTTCGTGACCTGGGGGTGCTGACCTGACCTTGACCTGAGGTCAACACACCAAGTTGACCTGACCCGGACAACAAGTATATCATTCGACGCGCCTGAGCGAGGCGAACACGATGCTGCCAAAATCGGCGCTCTGCGGCCGTTTTTTGCGAAGTTATTCACCAAAAACTGAACCGTACCCTGAGGCACTTGACCTGACCTCAGAGGTCACCGGATGACCTAGGACCTTAAAATCGGGTACCAATCTCTGCGTCTCGTAACGGCGCACACGCTCGTTTTTTCCGCGACGCGCTAGCTCCACCAGGGGCGAAACGGCGAGGGGGGGTCGTACCCCCCCCCAGAATTCAGAATTCAGAATGTATTTCAAGCTCATCCAGGTAAACATACACCGGCTTTTCATGTGCTTACGTCAGTTGTGGGATAAAAGGCATACACACACGACACTGATACGACATAAAACAATGCAAAAGGCAACTAACCCAATGAAAGAATGCTAAAAGGTACCACAGTAAGAACACACGAGCACGCTCACACCTGCATCTGCCGCGCCTGACCCATGTGTATCCGCAAAGCGTTTTTGAAAGCCGCGGTGCGTCCGTCCCGTACGGAGGGTGGTAGGGCATTATATGCTCGGGCCCCCCGGTAGATGAACATTCTCCTCCCTGACTCTGTTCTGATGCGTGGTAAAACAAGATGGTCGTCCTGCCTGGTCGATCTCTGCCTCACACTCATCGCCGTTCGAAAGTGACTCGCCAAGTCAGCCGGTTGTTCGTAGGTGAGGATGGCTTTCAGCAGACACAGTGTACGATACATCACGAGGTCCTCGGCAGGCAACCAGTTCAACTCGCTCAACACATCACGCACATGTTCCCGCTTTTTCCGCCCTGACACCACTCTTGCGCAAAAGTTTAACAGTTTCTTAATGCGCGTCACTGAGTGTGTAGTTGAGTTTCCGTATACAACAATGCAGTATCGAATCAGAGAAATAACCAAGCCACTCACGATCACTGGTAGCACACCTTCAGGTAAACGATGCCTCGCATGGCTCAAAGCTATAAGTAGCCCGGTGCACTTTGCAACCAGTTGGTTGACATGCGGTTCAAAAGATAAGTGTCGGTCCATAACCAGCCCCAAATTCTTTACTCGCTCAACCTCCTGCACAGTCACACCATTTACTGGAAATCTTGGGAAGACCCTGGAGCATATGACGTGTGCCAAAAACGATAAGTTGAGTTTTGCTAGAGTTAATTTTCATCTGATTTTGGGTGAACCACTGGAATAAAGTGCACAGGGCTAACTCCATGCGCCGAATGAGACTCGCAATGTCACGCTTGTGTCCAGTAACAAGAATCTGCGTGTCATCGGCGTACTGAGTGATGCTAACGTCGTCGCCGACGTATAGGCTGATGTCGTTTGCAAAAATACTGTACAAGAGGGGCCCCAATGAGGTGCCCTGGTACACTCCGATAGGGTTTCTAGCCGCCTTGGATAGAAGCTGACGACCATCTGGAAAGCAAAGTCTAACTTGCTGATAGTGGTCTGATAAGTAATTTGAGAACCAAGTGCTTTCTATCCCATAAAGTTCAAGCTTTTCAATCAGTTTTGAATGGCTAACCACATCGAAGCATTTACTGAGATCTAATAGTACTAAAAGAGATATTTGGCCGTTGTCCATACCCTGAAGAACGCGGTCTGTTACTCTTATAAGGGCCGTCTCGGTCGAGTGGTGGCGACGAAAGCCATGCTGCGTACACGAAAATAGGTGGTTCGAGTCAAAGTAAGTATACAGCTGCGTGTGAACTATGCGTTCGACGATCTTTGATAAACAAGGCACGAGCGATATTGGCCGAAAATTGGAAGGGTCGTTGGTGGAGCCCGACGATTTGTACAAGGGCTTAACAATCGCAACCTTCCATGAGTCAGGCAGAATGCCGGTGACTAGGCTAGTGTTCACGATACATAACACTACATGTGAGACAACGCTAAAACACTTTTTAAAAAACGTCATAGGCAGTCCGTCGGTACCGCACGCTCCACTGTTACTCATACTGTTGACAACCTGCCACAGCTCGGCGCCCAACACCGGTCGCACCGCGAACCCACCCGACCCCACACGGGGCAGGCGGACTGGCAGCTCCGCAGTACCGGCCGGCGCCCCAGCCGCAACAGCGGTCGCAGTCTTGATGCCGATCTCAGCGAAGTAAGTGTTAAGTGTATCAGGATCAATGTCCGGTGTGACCGTCTGTCCGCTCCTCTTGCTGCCAATTACGGAGCGCACGCAGCGGTACATCGAGCCGGGACCCGCTTCAGCTATCCGCCGTCTAAAGCTGTCACGTGAGTCACGTAGTGTAGCCGCGCGGACCTGTCGGTTGAGCTCTCTGTACCGCGCGCGGTCTCCCCGTCGTAGTGCGGCGCGCCGCTCGGCCATGATCCGCCGTGTTGTTTCGGTGACTGGCGGTGGGTCGGGGTTACGGATGCGCACCTTTCGAACGGGAGCGTGTTCATCGAGTACGGCGGTAAGTTGGCCGATGAAAAAGTCACTCTGCCGCTGCACATTATCGGTTACGAAGACTGGAGACCAGTCGATGTTACCGAGTCGAGTCAGGAACGTGTCCATGTCAATGGATTTCCAGCCACGGGTCTGCACCGCCACGGGCGCCGGACGGCACCTACGGATACGTAACAGAGCGCGAGTGAAATGGTGATCACTAAAATCGCACCGGCGCACACCCGCCCGGGCCACTGCTTCAGTCGAGTTGGTAATAATAACATCAAGCACGGACCCGGAGCGGGGATAGGTGGCATCGCTGATGTGCTGAGATAGCGAGTATCTCTGGAGTAGCCCGGTGAGCTGACCACCAGGAGAGCCCCCAGTAGTCTCTCGTAGGTCACAGTTGAGGTCACCCGCCAGGATCACAAGGCAGCAGTGCTCCGTCAGTACGGCCTGGATCTCCGTCTCCAGCTGCTCAAGATCCGCCGTAAGCTGAGCGCCAGTGGATGACGGAGGACGGTACATGGAACAAACGACAATACCTCTGCCGGGCCCCGCTCCAACACGGACCCAGACGGTCTCAAGCTTGGAGGTAGAGTTGTCAGACTCCGGCTTGGGTATGACTTTAAACTGAAAGCCATCGCGGGCCAGGACCGCCACTCCACCAAAGCCACGGCCGCCTGCCCGGTCGGCTCTTATCAGCTGGTACCCGGGAAAAGAGACGAGGCGGTTGGGCACGCGCGGTTTCAGCCAGGTTTCGGAGAGTGTAATGATGTCTGCTTCCGTGTCTGAAATTTCCAGTTGAAGCTGAGAAATCTTGGGAAGAAGAGACTGGACGTTGAGAGATGTAAGCAAAAGCTGACCGGGCTGCCGAACGCCGCCTCTGCGCCACCCTTGGCCACCTCTGCACCCTCGGCGGCGTGCCCCGGCACCGCTCCTGCCACGGTGGACGAGTGGTCTAGCCCTCGGGGGCACAGCCTGTGACAGGTCAAGGTCACCAGTCACAGCCGCTCCAGAGGCAGCGCCGAAAGACGACGGAGGGGCTGGGGCGTCACGGCGAACTGTTCGTAGCCGGGGAGGACGATGACGTGCAACATCATCGTTGAGTCGATGCAGATGCAGGTGGAACTGTCTGCTGCCGGGAACGCCTTGCCAATTCGGAACGGTGAGCGCGTAAAGCACTCGGAGCACAGCGAGAAACACGAGACTCCTGGCAACGTCACGATGCATTCTCGCCGCACGAATCACAGTCCAATCCTTTCGAGTTAAGTTAGATGGCACGGCAGTGCCAACCTTACACCACCACCACTAGTAAAATCCACTCAGGAAATAGGCACGGGGGAAACACACGCGGTTAGCGGAGAGCCCCGGCAACGCAGCCGCACTGGGCGCGGTGCACAGGGGAACTGACAGGGGAACCCCCCCTCGGCCGGCGCGTATGTAGAAAACCAATAGGTCCGGCGAGGGTTAAGCTGCTTCTGTGTGGTTTTGGGTACATTGATGCGGTCTCCGATAAAGGTCATTCCATCTTATGACAAGACACCGTGCTTACGAGGCAAACCACCGTCCATCAGTATTAACTAATGAGTTTTCTCAGACCTTAATCTTTAAAAGAAATATTTTGTACGCCCTAGTAAAAAAACGTGCAATTAGGGTGTCCCAAATTTCACGAAGTTTTCCAATTCACTTAGGATACACCGGGATCCCGTTCCTTGGTTCATTTGAACCTCACACACCAATTTATAGAGTAAACTACCGGTAAACAAGGTTGCCGCTAGTGCTCTGAAGTTTTATTTGCATTTTGGTGTTATATGATAGTGCGGCGTTGTAGTCTCCGAATGCAAAATGGGAAATATATGTAAGCAACGTAGCAATATTACCTTCTTCGATGCTCAGTGATGCTCAGATCCCACGCACATTGCACAATGATGATAATCCGGGTTTATGTACGCATACTCGTACATACGTGAGAAACTGTGTGTGTGCGTGCCCGTATGCCTCTGTGCGTGTGTGTATGTGTGTGTTTGTGTGTGTGCGCGCGCGACTGCGTGCGTGCCTACCGGATAGAAGGCAATGCCAGTTTTAATCTTGGTGTGGGTGATTTCATGTGCCGCTGATTTCGTTTGGGAGTAAGCGATCAAATAAAGGTCTCAGGTTAGTGCTTCAAATGTCTCGCTTCAGATCGAACCGTCTGCGGCAATGGCACACCACATAAACGCAGATTGAACAGAATCAAATTTACATTGCAGCTATGGGTATTAAGTTCACCGTATCCTGTCCTGAGACCGTCCACGCGTAACATCATCGTACCCTGCTCCGAGATCCGTCTAAACAAACATCATGCCTTGCTCTGAAAACCGTCTGAAACATCGTACCCTATTCTTAGCTGCTTCTAAAACATCGTACCCCATTCTGAGATCCGTCTTAAACATCGTACACTGCTCTGAGGTCCATTTACACTCTACGGTCTACACGTAACGTCATCGCACCCTGTTTAATATCTGTCTACCACTACAGACCCATGTAACGTCCTTCTTCGTGTGACCGTAAAGCGACCTGTGCCATGCCACCACCTGGGCCAGCGCCTGCAGCTGGTCCTCATCTTTCGTTCTGTCCATCATCTCCTATGCCAGCTTCACTCCGCGATCCGCTTCATCATTCACAACTGCCAGGCTGTTGACGTATTTGTGAACTGCGTTGTAACCTAAGATACTTTTCCATTTTTGACAGGCTCTTGCAACCATTCGAGGGCGCACTCATCCAGATTATGGATGATTGCCTATGATTCTCATAGCCGGGTGCCCGGTGCAACCATTCGAGGGCGCACTCATCCAGATTCTGGATTAGTGCGCTCACGAATGGTTGCAAAAGCCTGTCAAAAAATGCAAAAGTATCTCAGGTTACAACGCAGTTCACAAATGCGTCAACAGCCTGGCAGTTGTGAATGATGGAGCGGATCGCGGAGTGAAGCTGGCACAGGAGATGGACAGAATGAAAGATGAGGACCAGCTGCAGGCGCTGGCCCAGGTGGTGGCATGGCACAGGTCGCTTTACGGTCACACGAAGAAGGACGTTACATGGGTCTGTAGTGGTAGACAGATATTATAGCAAGGTGCGATGACGTTACGTGTAAACTGTAAAGTGTAGATGGGCCTTAGAACAGTGTAAGATGTTTTAGACGGACCTCAGAGCAGTATACGATGTTTAAGACGGATCTCAGAATAGGATACGATGTTTTAGACGAATCTCAGAGCAGGGTACGATATTTTAGACGGATCTCATAGCCGGGCACGATGATGTTGACGGATCTCAGAGCAGTGTATGATGTTTAAGACGGATCTCAGAATGGGGTACGATGTTTTAGACGCATCTCAGAATAGGGTACGATGTTTCAGACGGTTTTCAGAGCAAGGCATGATGTTTGTTTAGACGGATCTCGGAGCAGGGTACGGTGATGTTACGCGTGGACGGTCTCAGGACAGGGTACGGTGAACTTAATACCCATAGCTGCAATGTAAATTTGATTCTGTTCAATCTGCGTTCATGTGGTGTGCCATTGCCGCAGACGGTTCGATCTGAAGCGAGACATTTGGAGCACTAACCTGAGACCTTTATTTGATCGCTTACTCCTAAACGAAATCAGCGGCACATGAAATCACCCACACCAAGATTAAAACTGGCATTGCCTTCTATCCGGTAGGCACGCACACAGTCGCGCGCGCACACACACAAACACACATATACACACACGCACAGAGGCATACGGGCACGCACACACACACAGTTTCACACGTATGTATGCGTACATAAACCCGGATTTTCATCATTGTGCAATGTGCATGCAGGATCTGAGCATCACTGAGCATCGAAGAAGGTAATATTGCTACGCTGCTTACACATATTTCCCATTTTGCATTCGGAGACTACAACGCTGCACTATCATATAACACCAAAATGCAAATAAAACTTCAGAGCACTAGCGGCAACCTTGTTTACCGGTAGTTTACTCTATAAATTGGTGTGTGAGGTTCAAATGAACCAAGGAACGGGATCCCGGTGTATCCTAAGTGAATTGGAAAACTTCGTGAAATTTGGGACACCCTAACGTGCATTGCTCACATTGGTGAATTTAGGTGTATTTTCATATTCCCAAGGATCACATTATCATGATTTTTGTGGCACTCGCAGCGCTCATTTTCATGATAACGCTCCTCCTTTCCTGCGTTATATACCGATTTGTTTGTTTTGTTTTATTGGGTTAGGCACTTTCGGTCTGACAAGACCATTTCAGAGCTTTGTTTGTTTGTTTTGTTGGGTTAGGCCCTTTCGGTCCAATTAGACCATTTCAGAGCCGGAAGGATGATAGGAATTAGGGGGAGACATTGGTCTGGGCAGGCATCCTAGTGAGTCACCGGGGCTGAGCCCATCCCGAAGGACAGGCCGACCAGCCCCAAGGTACTCACTGCACCCGGCTACGGGGTGCGCTCCCTCGGGAGCAGCGCGGCGGTGCCGCTCCAAGGGAGCAGCCCGCATGAGATAAAGTTGCCTGTCCAGCCCGGAGGGGGTTGCGGCGTGGAGGAGAAGGATTTCCGTATCCTGAGGATGGAAGCATGGAACGGTGTGATTTCAGAGCCGGGAGGATGATAGGATATAGGGGGAGACATTGGTCTGGGCAGGCATCCTAGTGAGTCACCAGGGCAGAGCCCGTCTCAAGGACAGGCCGATCAGCCCCCCTAACACTCCTTGCACCCGGATACGGGTGTGCTCTGCACCCGGATACGGGTGTGCTCCCTCGGGAGCAGCGGTGTCGCTCCAAGGGAGCAGCCCGCATGAGATAACGGCGCCTGTCCAGCTCGGAGCGAGGGTTGCGGCGTGGAGGAGAAGGATTTCAGCATCCTGAGGATGGAAACGACGGACGGGTATATATACCGAATACTGATGCTCTCAGTGTCAGTGAGTGGCGGGTGTCCCTTCCTCGCACCGGGCGTGTTGGTGGGATCGCGATAGTGATCCAGAAGTGAACATAGTCACCGTGACAGTGTAAACACCATGACCCTCCCCCTCTCCAGGTGGCGGCCGCTCCCGCCGGCTCGACCCCCACGGCCGTGGTGATGACGTCATCAGAGAGCGGCGCGGAGCAGAGACTGGCCTGCAACGGCCCGCCGCCGGCACTGCCGTCTGGCGGCGCGTTCGGCAGCGACACTAGCGCCGCAGCCGGCAGCCTGCTGAACCAGGAGCTGGACAACATCTGGCAGCTGGGAGAAATGGAGCCCGACAACAAATGTGAGAACCGAACGGAGTACTGACGAACCGTTGGTCTGTGTGATGCTACCTGTAAGGTTACATCCCTGATTATCAGCTTCAAAACTACGACAGTAATGACTAGGAATATTCCTTACCAGTGTGGGATGACCACATAAAACTATCAAACACCCTGGCAACCGTTGTCATTCTAAAACGTCCCATTTGCTGACATGATCGAGGCGGTATGATTCCTCCCACCACCACAACACTCTTCCACCCAGCCTTTAATTCCCCGTCTTCGTCCGCAGGGGTGCTTCTGAGCAGCGTGGTACTGATGTGGGCTCTGGATCCGCGACAGCACCACGACAAGATTCTGGAGGCCGTGGATGAACTGATGAAGCTGGACAGCCTGCGACGGGGCTACTACCGTGACCTCAGTCAGTAGACGGGGGCTGACGTAGGACGTGGGTGGGGAGGGATTCCTGAGGATGTGACTGGTATCCAGGACTTTGGGGCTGTGGTGATGTTATTTTGGACTGGTTTGATTTTTGTTGAGCATATGTGATTGATCTTGTTAGTATGTCTCGTTAGCAAAGTATCGAGAACTATATCCGGTATCTGCATTTTTAACAGGTTTGGGTCTTGTTTGTTGAAGATGAAATCAGTTCATTCCAGTAACCGGTCGTGTTAAATTCCCAGGGAGCCGCTTCATCATCGAGCGAAAGCTCGAGTCGGTTCGGGAATCGGGCCTCATCGAGCTGGATCTCTCCTGCTGCCATCTGACGGCCATCTACCACACTAACCACATGGTTGCCATGACAACACTGGACGCCGATAACAATCAGCTGCGCGCGCTCGACCTGAGACATCTGGTGGCGACCGAGCGAGTTACTGCCAAGGCCAACCGTGTACGGCGGGTCAGCCTACCTCCCGGCGAATTGTGCTGCCTCAGGCGTCTGGCGCTGAATGACAATGACCTGCGGGAGGTCAGTGACCTCGTCGGCGAGGACGGGCCGTGGCCCAGTGTAGAGGAGCTCAGTGTGACGGGTAACCCGGTGTGTGAAGTACCGGGGTATGAGGAGCAGCTGAAGGAGAGGTTCCCCGGCCTGAAGATGCTGAACGGAAAGGCCCTGTGATCTCTTGCATGAGAGGGGTGTTAGTCAACTGCACATCACACTTGTCAAAGGCATTATTCGTATATTGATGTAATCATAAAGCTTTTGGTGTGTTTCCGCTGTCATTTGTTAGTCTCAGGTTTACAACCTTTCTTTGTAGCCGTTTTGGGTGCGATGCAGACGATACAGCACAAATGATATTCGACGCTACACTGGAAAATGACGAATGTCACCGTTCATATCTCGATCGCCGGGCATAATACGTCATTAATCAGAGATGGCATCGATGATTTTTGCATCAAGCTGAATTATTGAATGATTGTACTGCCGCTTTGATGTTCGATGGATGCATTCCGTGTGCTGAGTGACGTCAGACCATTGTTATCGAGATTCCGTTTTTTTTCGCTTTCGCCTCAGAAAATGATTGCATGAGTTCTTCGAAGCAACACCTTTCAGTTTTTTTTTTCTGTAGCGGGTGATTCGAAAATCGCCAATGCTTGCACAGGCAAATGTTTGCCCAGCCCGGCTGGAGCTTTTAATTTTCTGTTGTTTGGTGATTTATATACCGTGGTTTCGTACGTTTACTATTTATTCAGGGTATACACCGCTGATTACTTTGCGAAATAAATGAAAAAAACTCTGGTGCGATTTTAGCCCGATGAAAGTGGTTGCATGGAGCTTGAGTTGCAGTAGTACGTCATCAGAGTCATTCAATTTGCAACGTTGTCGGGTGGATCAATGCGATTTCATCGCCTTCGGGAAGACCGTGGTCCGTGTTTATTTCAACGCGTTTCACCGTCTTCGCTCTTGATCCATTACTGATTCGAGCCACTTGGCACTTACCAACAAAGTCACCTCCACTGACCCCACACACGCTACCAAAACTGGAAATGTCGCGGCCCTCAAAGCCGCCTCGTCAACTACCGACCGGCTCCTCTGGTGGAACGAGTAATGGGGTCAGAGGTTCGTCCGCCCTCCGCCTCCGTCCGAGACGGACACGGGAGGAGCGGCGAGGTCTGCCTTGTGTGACCCTGGCCGCCCTGGGCTGACCCTGAACAGGAGCGGTGACGCAGCGCACAGGGGAGTCATGAATGGTATCGGTTTCCCAATACCCGCCGATGGGGGATAGCTGGATAGGTGACGAGGTGCTTACATAACGGAGATGGGATCCGGAAGTCCTAAACGTGGGAAAATTGGGAGCGAATTCGGGACGTGGGATTTATAAGAGAGATGGTGTCTAGTGATGAGTTCGCACAGCTGTTTTTATCGGGAGCTCTTCATACACTGGAAGCATGAGTCATCGTCTCACTATCGTGTCGCTTTTTTATTGGTTAGGTACGATGGTTACTTTGGGCCTCTTCGGTTTGGAAAGTTATTATCGCACATTATGAGATACGAATGGATAACTAGTGACACCGCTTGACACGTCAACGCCGGTCATCTTTCGTGAGAAAAGCCAGGTATCCCACCGGACGCTTCTTCCCATGAGCTGGCGACGATTTAGCCCTTTAGAACGCAGGATGAGAGTCGAGAAGTGGGACGCGAGGCTCCAGGGGATACGCCAGAAAGATGGGAACGACAAAACAATGTTGGTACTGGCTCAACTGCTGGCTATCGAGTGGCTGCGCCGACCGGCGAGCGCTTTCGGTTTGATGCTGTACCGCCTGACAAGGATGCATTGCGGAACAGTATACCAATTCAGGAACGCTTGGAGCGCCATCTACTTGGAGGCGCGCCAAGTTCAGATAGTGCGTGTTGCTAGGCATATGGTGTCGAGCAAGACGGCCACGCCAATTGAGCCATCGCTGAAATCACGTCTGGTGACAAATGAAAACAAAGTGATCAATGATGAATGAGGTCCAAATAATTGTACCTACATGTTACACATATTTTCTTATTTTTTATCAATACCTTAGTAAGCATGTACAGTCTGTCTTAAAAGTACCGCGCAAAGTGACGGTGGATCCATCAAGCCTGACCGAGAAATGCATGCTTTAATTTGAAAGTCACCGACCAATTGACCTAGGGAATGGACGAGGATATCCATTGCTTCGGTTACCCAAATTTAGCTGGCCCTTCCTCAGTCAGGCTCGATGGATCCACCGTCACTTTGCGCGGTACTTTTAAGACAGACTGTACCTACCTATTACCTACCTAAGCATTACAAACAAAAACGTTCCTGAGGATTTACATATGCATTGATACCTAGATAATAAATATTGAGATGTCTAAGGAAAGTGACAAAAATACAAGTCTTGAACATTTTCATCTCAGTTCAATTGGGATTCGGGAATTGTCAGTTGGGGCGTTCCACGACAGATCGACCAAGCCATAACACCCTACCTCTCAGATTTTGATGAAATTGCGTCTAGGGGGTTATCTGTACCGTAGATTCTTAATCTCCTATTTTCAGCGTTATACTACAAACAGTTTACGAGTTATAGCCAGTGGCATTTTTCAAAATGCTCAGAGTAACCCTCTTTTTGACTCACATTATATAAAGATATGGCCTGTAACTTACATTAATATGTATATCATTGAAATTCTCATTGACTGAAGAAAAATAATCAATCAAAATATTTTGAAAATTTTCAAAATCTCAACATTTTTTTAATTAATACATTTTTTATTTTTTATTTTCAAAATGTGGCCATTAAATTTTTGCCAAAAAGATTATGCCAAAAGATGCCTCTGGATATGAAAATTAGATGCACAAAAATTTGGAGAGGTGTTTTGCCTTTAACTTTTTATATAATTTTTTATTTACGGCAATATTAACACGCGCAGTGGAAGGGGGATTTCGCCCACCCCTCCTGTTTTTCGCCAATAACTCGCGCCGCAAACATAATATTAATGTGAAATTTTGGCTACCTGTCCAAAATTGAACTGCGGATCTCCTCGTGCAAGAAATAAGAAAATTGGATCACAACTTTTCTAGTGATAGCGGTGTAAAGTCAAACATCCTGCCGCCGCGGCGGCGCGGCGGCCGGCGCTAGCCGTTACGCGCCGCCTGAATTGTAGACTGTGCCGGGGCGGGACGGTTCCGTCTTTACATCGCGCTCCTTACCGCTGATTATATTCGATTGGCGTCAAATTTTGTGAGAAGACTGAGAAATGTACAGGCAATCCTATGGTTCAATAATTTTGAAAATCGGTCCGTAACAACTTGAGTTATGAGTGTGTAAACACAAAATTGTGATTGCCGCGTTTCTCGCGTCGGCCGATCCCGCTTCAGCGGGCGACATCTTACCCTTAGCAGGCTTCCAACTGCCATATTTATTGTTGGATTAACTAGAAATTCACCATACATACTCACAAATGTATGTTCTCTCGTATAGTAAAAGAAAAAAGGAAATCGACCGGTAACTTTTTGAGTTATCGGCGTGTAAACGCTCATAACAGCCGAGGCTGTGTTAGGGTCAAATGAGGAGAAGGCTCACCCTAGTAATCGCATGAAGTTCGCTCTGTCCATGTAATAATGGGCTTTCAGTGAGTTTGCTTATTGAATATGCCACACACAAAATATATGCAGACAAAAGTGCGGCATTTGGAAGCAATTCATTGCAATTGCCTGGGGCGTGATGACCAGGTCAGAGAGGGTGCAGGTAACAAAATTACAAGTACCGACGTGAAAACTGGCCGGGATTGTATTCTGTTTTCCCCTTGCTGTTTTCCTGGAACTGGAAGCATCTCAAACGTTTTGGATTAATGTATTTCAAGGTATTAAGTGGCTTGGGATGCTCCATGTTTCACTTACATTCACTTCCATAGCATTTTTATTTCCACCTGGCCGAAGGTTTGATGTGCAGCCCCAACGGTTTTCTCGAGATCGTTTGCAACGCTGAAAGGCTGGAGAGCTGAAATTGACATACCTTCCTACCTACCTGAGCATTGACTTAAGCCGGATTTTTTTTTTTTACGCCAACAGAATTTTGAGGCTGAGGTCAGCTTACTGACCTATGACAGCACAAATAAATCTTGGAACGATGCAAAAAGTTGCAGCTTTACAGCGCCCTCAGTGAGCCTTTTGCAGGGGATGAAACTTAAGCAACGGCATATAGTAACGGCTCTTGAGATTTCACATCAATTCCTCCAACTTTCCTAACTTTCACCCGAGGTCAAGCTGGCCACGTGACTTCACTATTACAAGTCAATGGGAAATATTGAAACATTGAAACTATTATTTTGATGCTGGAAACGAACGAAGCCTGTCATCAATTATCAAACACCTGTAATCGTGATTTCATACACTTTGCAGAGGGCGATTCTTCGGGACCTTCCATGACGTCGTATACCTATGCTAGTACTTTGTATGGTCGTTTTAGGTCATCGTTTTTCTTTTTGTCAATAACCTTGATTGGAATTAATCTCGCGAGTCGAATAAGCCACCAGTGCGTGAATTCACGGAACCCTACTGAACCTAATCATATACCTAAAATAGCTGCTTTCACGACAAGTATCTAACACACATTTACTGATAGTTGATGCGATTTGGTCAAATTTGGTTCATAGTTGATTCTTAATTGCTTTAGCTTGGGTTGCACTAGTTGCTTATTGACCTTATTTATCATATTATCAGACGTTCCTTTTAAATCAAACATTTGAACAAAATTACGTTGAAAATAGCTACAGTAAAACAGATTTGGCTAGATTCGTCTGACATCCGCCATGAAAACGGCTGATACATGGCCTCATTTGACCAGCTCATCTTGACCTCAGCGGTTTTGATGTGACTTCGACCTGAGGAAAACACCTTAAGCTGACCTCTTCCAAATACAGTTATATCATTACGGTCAACTGGTGACCTCTGTGGTCAGGTCAAATGCCCTGAACCAGGGATTAATTTTCTGTCAATAAATCCCCAAATGGTCGCAGCACCGTCATTTCAGTACCTGACACTTATCTGGCACCATCGTGTTTATGATGCTCCGCCGGGTAGAATGGTGTGCTGATATTTTGGAAAGCTCAGCTTAACGTGCTTACTTCAGGTCAGGGTCAGAACAAAGTCGTTCAGGTCACGAATCTGGTCGATTGAGATGATTCTGAGTACCTACATTGATGACCCTTCCCTCAATGCCCTCATTTTGTTTGGAATCAATTGACGAAAAATTATCCCATCAAACAGCCTTAGTGACGTCACAAATGACGTTGCGTTTTTAGGTCGTCACGCAAGGTCCAGGAGCAAAACTGAAACATCGGACCTTGCAAAGAATGCGTGAAGTACATTCTCCTCGTAAATAATTGTTGGCAATGAGGGCGTTTCGCTATTGCGACATTTTTAACATTACATAGACTTACTTATTTGACGTAATAGTTCAGTGAAGTGACCCTATATAAAGTTCGTTTGGTGTCACAAGCTAAATCGAAGATAAGTTATAATAACTTTCAGCGCTCTATCGCCATTGCGTCCCTAGCAGTGATGAAAAAACCGTCAGAGGCGGATAGTACTCGCTCCCACGGCCACATGCGGTTTAACCTCGCTCTCTTGAGAACAATACGTCATTATGACGTCTTTGACTATTTGGGACCTAGCTTAGCTTGCGTAGGTGTCCTAAGTCTCTTTAGAAAAAATAAACAGAGTTGCAATGAGCTCTCGATCACATTTGACCGTTCTCAGTTCGGACCAGTTGACAGTTATTG